CAGAGTCGGGCCGGCGCCCGTTTTTGGGGTCGTGCGGGTCGTTTTCAGACTCTAAAACAGCGTCGCTTGTTCTATGCGGGTAATACTTAACAAAATTAATCATATCTAGGGACGTTAAAATTGAGAGCCCAAAAAAGACCACATTTTGGAAATTTCAGGACTATGGGTATTTTGATCATTACATTTTTAATTTAGGTAAATAAATTGTAAATCAGGTAAATAAATTGTAAATTAGGTAAATTGATTGTAAATTAGGTAAAAAATTGTAAGTTAGGTAAATAAATTGTAAATTTGTAAATTAGGTAAATAAATTGTAAATTAGGTAAATAAATTGTAAATGAGGTAAATAAATTGTAAATTATGTAAATAAATTGTAAATTAGGTAAATAAATTGTAAATTATGTAAATAAATTGTAAGTTAGATAAATAAATTATAAATTAGGTAAATTATAGATTAAAGATTTATTTAATAATATTTACAGTTTAGGCGGTAAAATTTTTAATTTAGTTTATTCAACTTTAAGTTATTCAATAAGTTCATTAAAATGAATTAGTTCATGAATTAATAACATTGTTCAGACAATACAATTTATCTAATAACGATGAGTAAAAATATAATAGCTGTTTTCTCAATATTTTGAAATGGAAAATATACATATAAATAGACGTTTAAAATTCCAATATTAATTTATAAAATACAAAATTACATTTTAGATAAAAGATATTTAATTAATAACATGAACGATTGGATGTACATCATACTAACATTGTGAACGCACTAATAGTTTAATAGTTTAATCGAAAAATGGATTCGTTCAATAAATAGCGATTGTATTTTTCCAAATTTAATATGTCGTTCGATCAATTTTATATCGTATATTTATAATGGTATATTTGTACCTAGTGAATTTGTCTAAAACTAACTTTTTTGGAAGCGCAATTTCAAATTTTAATGAATTAAGTTTAAGGTTGTACTTTTCCCCGATTTCAAATATTGAACGTGTCTAGTTTGTAACATACTTCACTTACATAAATCAAGAATTATAAATCAGAAAGTTTCAAAATTAAAAATAAAACTTCTCTAACTTTTATTTAGTTTGGTTAATCTAAAAACTCTGTTTATCTTGTAGACAATGTTTGGTTTGGTTTGGTTCATCTTGAAAACACTGTTTGGTTTGTTTTATCTTGAAAACATTGTTTAGTTTGGTTTATCTTGAAGACAATGTTTGGTTTGGTTTGGTTCATCTTGAAAACACTGTTTGGTTTGTTTTATCTTGAAAACATTGTTTAGTTTGGTTTATCTTGAAGACAATGTTTGGTTTGGTTTGTTTTTTCTTGAAAACACTTTTTTGTTTGGTTTGGGTTGGTTTAGCTGGTTGGCTCTGAACGTTTTTTTCTTCTCTTACCAGCAGAAGTGATTCTATCCATAACATCCTAATCAATCAATAAGAATTAATAAATATGATTATAAACAAAATCTTGGCATACAGTGAGACCCATAATAATGTGGAATAGGCAGATGACTGCTGGTCTCAAATTATGATTTTAAATAGTCTACAAACATTAACTACACTAATTACTGTGTACCAATCTTTGGGAAAACACCTAGCCCCCTAGCCCATCCTAGCTGCAGAATTGGCCCCCTAGCCTATCCTAGCTGCAGAAATCGGCCACCTTAGCCCATCCTAGCTGCAGACCCGACCCCCTAGCCCATCCTAGCTGCAGAGTCGGCCCCCCTAGCCCACCTAGGTGCGGAACTGGGCGCCCTTAGCCCATCCTAGCTGCAGAACTCGGGCCCCCTAGCCCATCCTAGCTGCAGAACTCGGACCCCCTAGCCCATCCTAGCTGCAGAACTCGGCCCCCCTAGCCCATCCTAGCCGCAGAGCTCGGCCCCTCTAGCCCATCCTAGCTGTAGAACTCGGCCCCCCTAGCCCACCTAGGTGCAGAACTGGGCACCCTTAGCCCTTCATAGCTGCATACTCGGCCCTCTAGCCCATCCTAGCTTCAGAACTCGGCCCCTAGCCCATCCTAGCTGCAGAATTGGCCCCCTAGCCTATCCTAGCTGCAGAACTCGGCCCCACTAGCCCATCCTAGCTGCAGACTCGGCCCNGCCCCCCCTAGCCCATCCTAGCTGCAGAACTTGCCCCCCTAGCCAATCCTAGCTGCAGAACTCGGCACCAATGTCAGCCTGCGGCGCACCTCAACAGGCTTAACCTAACCTTTGGGAAGTTGCCGCTTGGGAATTTCAACATTTGGTAAGTTGCCAGTTGCCACTTTGAAAACTGTCACTGTATTTCTACCTGCATCATGTTGAGTAGGAGAAGAAAGGAAAGAAGTGCAACGGCTGAACCATTTACATCACCTGGCCTAGAACCTCGGACAGGAAACCTGAAATGTAAATGTTGAACAGGCTAAATATGTATATATATAAACGTAGTTTAAAGTGACTATACATGTTAAGAGTGGTGTGTCCTTTTAAACCTTTCTCTGAAAAACACAATTTTCTGTCTTTGTTAAAAACAATTAAAGCTTAAAAAATTGTCTATCAAATATTGTAGTAAACCCTATATTTGTAAACCTGAACAGTGAGCACACCTAGATATATTACGTTGTACATTGTAACCTAACTATGCCTGTAAATAACTACGTCAAAACTGTACTGTGATTAGCATAACTAGGTTTGTATCTAACAATGCAAAACTTGTAATTACGTTCATTAATTTAACCTGTAACATACGTCAGATGAATAATACTCTACTTAGATTACAGTGTGAGAGTAATTGTTCCTCGTTTAGCAAACGAGAAGTGTCCTACATCACTTTCTTGAAAGATAGATATAGATTGGAAATTAGAGTGAATTGTGTCTTGTAAGACAGAACCCTGAGATTACAGACTAAGTAGTATCCGGATTAATATTGACTATGGTAGTACTGATGAACCTTGAGTCTAGATTGATTTGTATCTTGTAAGACAGATACCTGAGAATACAGATAGAGTCGTATCTGGTTTGATATTGACTAAAGTATTAGTGAGAAACCTGGAGTTCTTGATTAAGTTGCATCATGTAAGACAGATACTGGGGGTTCCAGATAGAGTTGTATCCAGTTTGATATTGACTAAAGTTATAGTTAGAAACCTGGAGTTCTTAATTAAGTTGTATTGTGTAAGACAGATTCCTAAGGATACAGAAGGTTAAACCTGGATTGGTATTTATTGGAGTAAGTAGTTTACTACAATTGGACCAGATTTTGACACTTTAGGATAGGCTGAGAGGGGTTAAACGGTGGAGCACTGCGGCTAATTATTCAACTAAATTCTTAAATTAATTATTCTGAGACCCTAATATTTATTTGTCTACGCAGCTCAAAATAAATTCAAATTCCGTCAAATAATAAACAATTTCATAAGTGTAACGTGTTAGTTATTTTCAATTAATACGTTGTATATTTACGAAGATAAACACAAATGTGAGTGAATATTGAGAATTAAGCAAATAAAATTCTACAGGGTGTCTCAAAAAAGTAAAAATATACAGACGACTTCAAAATTGTCTTCGTAATAATACGAGAAAAAAATATGTCTGAAAGTGATTGTAAGCTTAATTTTAAGTGCAAGATGATAATCACCCCCCCCCTCTCAGTATTATTATGTGTAGAAACATTCAATTGTTTTAATTTAAACATTATATGCGAACAAAAAATATGCAAGCTCTCATTCTCACAATTTAGCTGAATGATAACTATGAAAATCATTGAATAAAGTAATTAATTTTAAAAATTATTTTCGGTATGACGTTGATATGAAAGAATTTTTAATAATTGTTCCAAATATCCATTCATTGTTGAGGTATAGAATTCCTGTTTAAAGGGAGAGAAAGGCTATGCATAGTAGTTGAGCTGAAAGTGCAGTATTCTAGAGAACAACTGATACTAATGTATTTGATACCAATGCATGTTTTGTCCAGGCTATTATAAAATTGTATATGACGTTTCATCTGCTGACTGAAACAACTGGTGAAATATTACCTTATTTAAAAGTTGAACACCGTAAAGATTTCTCATTGGCATCAAATGAGTTCTAAAGTTTTTCCCTCCATCTGCCCAGTTTACATATTATTCAAATCAATTTTTAACAAAATTATGCCAAACTTACCTGAAATTTATTAAAAACCAAGCTACTTTTATAATTAAAAAAAATCCCCTAACCTGTTTCCGGAGAGCTGTCTTTCAACTGCAGCCCCTATAGGAGCAGCAGAGGGGCCCCAACGTCCCCCTAAAGCAACACCTGTTTCCAAGGCGGCCCCTGAACCTGGTTTTATGGCCCCTAACTCTGCTAGGTCCCTTGGCGGCGAGGATAAGGAGTCTAAGGGGCCTGGACTAGAAACCTAAAGGATTAATACAATTTCTAAAAAATAATTATGCTAAACAAGATCAGAATTTTGTTTTATGCAGGGTTTTACTTCAAACAAAATAATGTAAATGCAAAAAAATCCGCAAACAATTTTAATTTAAATTTTCTGCACGTCATAAATATAATTCTTTTTAAATTTTATTTTTTGTGTATTTAAATTGAATTATATTTTATCGTTATTTTACAAAAATAATTAAGCTTTTCACAACAATCAACATGAGGATTTCTAATACTTTTTTGTAATACAAAGAAAATAAATTTGGACAAATATTTATATTTTAAACGTTTATTAAAAGGTTTACAGATTTTTTGATTTTTTGATTTTGTTTGTATACCAAGGGAGGTCCTGTCCCCCCCCCCCCCACTTCCGCTAGAATATAAGAAATGTTAACATAGTCTTGAAACTTTTATCATATGGATATTATTGAAACTGACGTACCTAAAGTGTATCCGAAATAGTTTTCGTATAGCATTTTTCACGAATTTAAATCGACTCTCCATTATAAACCTACTTATCCGGCTTAACTTAACCTTATTCCTATTCTTATAAGCAGAGGCGCAACTAGGGGGGGGGGGGGCCGGGCGTGCGCTCTCCCCTAGCACCTGAGAATGAAAAGAAAGAAAGAATGGCGAAAATCAGTATCACAGGAATAAGAAAACCAATAAAGTTATTGTAGAAATTTTAACATACTATAGTTAGTTTTAAAAAGAATATTTTTATCTTTCTCAATTCTCAAGGCTAAAGGCTATTGTAAACATTTAAAGTAAAAAAAAGTTCTGAACTGTATTTTATTTGTGTTGAGTTTATAGAGTACTCGTAATATAAAATTTTGAATTCTTATGGTAAAATATTTCAAGTTTGAAATATCAAATGTTTACACCACTCGGTGCAAAGATTTAGGGATTAGAATATTTGAGTTTGTGGCAAAAACTCAGTTCCAAATCTAGAGAAAATTCTGAACCTGGCAAATTTCTAACTGATTATCATATTTGATAACTAACAAGATTTATCTTCTTTGACAGAAGTTCTGTAAAATCGAAAATGAATTTAGATTATGAATGTTGGTTAGATCAATCATTAATTCAATAAGAGAAAAGTTAACATTATCTGTCCTTTTTCAATGTAGATGATTGAATTTATTATTTACCTATGTATTTTTATGTTTTTTTTCCAGAAACTATAAATGATTATTTCTTGCAATTTAATCTGTAATTAAACCAGGTACTTAAAAAATAATCTTTTGCGATTCGCACACATATTCAATGAATTGACTCATATCATTCATTTTACAGCTGTTGGAAGTATAAATTTTGTAAAAACACAAGAAAAAAAATCGATTTGAATTGAACACAGCCAAATCTGCATGCAACAACTTAAAATTTCCTTTTTTCGACTTTAACCCCTTATAAAAGCACTCTTGTTTCTGAAAAATTACATAATAATATATTGCCCCCCCCCCCTAGAAAAAGTCCTAGTTGCGCCTCTGTTTATAAGATCTGATAGTTGATAGTGTTTATTTATTTATCTATGGTTGATAGATATAGATATGAATAAAAATAAAGTTAAAGAATATGAATCATCGGATTAAATGAATATTTAGATGTAGTTGAACAGTGTATTTCTAGTTGAAATTCTTCTAGATATTTTAATTCTAACCTTTGGACACCCATAAACGTTTTTTATAATATTTTATTTGTATAACTATTAATACATGAGTAAATACCCAGGATTCAACCCATTGTTAAAGAACAGAGTTTGCTCGAATAAAACATTTTGATCCACACTGCTTAGGCCAGCAGCCCCAGGCTTATCATAGGCTCATGCTCATAGCTACTTTTAAAGATTTTAGGCTTTTAAAAGGCTTCACAATTCGTATTTCAAAATTGCTTGTTGGACAATTATTGCTTAGATTATCCTGAAACCCCTGTGCTTTCTTGTGCTTTTCTATAAAATATATGTTTTTCTTCCGAAATACTCGCTGTAACAAAAATGGCATCAAAATCTATTGCGGGATTACAGGATCCATTCAAGGATGTATATATGAACGGGAAAAGTAATTTTAAATTGAAATCATTGCTAGCTACAATTCATACAAAGTTTGTAAATGAAAAGATTATAAAAGGATATGTTCATTTTGCCCATTTTCACCGTGTACAACACAAGACAAATGCATTTTAGGTGTATTGTGACGATAACAGTCAACCCCCCCCC